CGTTTGGTGAGTATTACTTTTAGACCTTGGATGCATATTATATAAGCCAAAATAAACCTTTGATTCACCACTAATGTAAAAAAGTCCTGCAAGTTTAGACCATTGCTTTAATCGTCATTTACACCCACGTAAATGTTGTTTACGTCTGTCGGCATCCATTAGGTGAATGAAGGGCGTGATGGATTTGTTCTGTCATATTCTCAGCACCTGAACAGCTGCTGTTCTTTCGCCGGAGAGCATGTGCACAGCAGAGGTCACGGCTGCGCTCCTCTGCTCTGTCCACTGAACCGTGTGGAGATGATTTGGCTTTGTTATGATGGATTTTTAGAGGCAACTGTATGCACTGGACTGGTGGAAGCCTGCTTGCTTATGCAATATCAGCTTTAAATGATGTTTGAATTAGAATTATGAAGCTAGAATGTCGGTGAGTGTTTATTGGGACAGGATTGAAATATGTAGTTTTTACTAAAGTTTAGTGAATTGATGTGGCTGGCATGGAAGGTGCTCTACATGCATGCATCACAAAACCCATTGAAATACTCTTGTATGTGTGAAATAATTATAACATATATTCTAGGGTGACCATACATCCTCTGTCCTGGCCAGGATGTCTAAATTGCCTAAAATGTCCTGGTTTTGGCTTTTTTTTCCCAATATGTGACCCTGGACCACAAAACCAGTCATAAGGGTAAAATTTTTTAAATTGAGATTTATACATCATCTGAAAGTTGAATACATTAGCTTTCCATTGATGTATGGTTTGTTAGGATCGGACAATATTTGAAAATCTGGAATCTGAGGGTGCAATAAAATCTAAATATTGAGAAAATCATCTTTAAAGTTGTTCAAATGAAGTTCTTAGCAATGCATATTACTAATCAATAATTAAGTTTTGATATATTTACGGTAGGAAACTTACAAAATATCTTCATGGAACATGATCTTTACTTAATATCCTAATGATTTTTGGCATAAAAGAAACATTTATAATTTTGACCCATACAATGTATTGTTGGCTATTGCTACAAATATCCCCCAGCGACTTAACACTGCTTTTGTGCTGCAGGCTCACATATTTGCATTGCTTTGACTGTCTGTAGATCCCACCTTCTTGTGTGCAATGATTGGTTGATTATGTACAATGCCTGCATGATATTGGTCAAACTACTTTTCAGTCTTTGCCTTGAGCAAGTATGAAATCTATAGCAAAACAAAGCCAAAACCCGGACATTTTCGGCGATTTAGAGACATGTCCGGGAGAAAGAGGAGATACGGTCTCCCCATTATATAATTAGTGGAAGGACGCTAGTCCCATCTGAATAGGGCTTTAGTTTATTTCGATTCAGTGCCATTGACTTCCCAAATCAGCATTTGACTGACTGTCCTCACCCTACTAACCTCATTTGTCCTCATATTCACAAACAGCAAACCCTCAGCTCTGCTTTAACACAGACACTGAACCAGCTGTAGCCTACTGAGGATGCATCCGTGATGTTTTATTATTATATAATGGTTGCATGCATGCTTGCGCCCATGTACACATAGTCTGTCCAGCGCTGCTGGCTGTTAACTGGATGATGATGAGGTTTATTGACTTCCTGTGAAGTCATGCATACAGGGTCCAAAATGAACTTTTTACCAAGCTTGCCAGTGGCAGATGAAATTTACCATCCATAAATGTTTTTCACGGGCCATGGAACTGTATTTTGCATTACGTTAAGGACATTTCTTTTTTTTATTACAATAATGGCATTATTTAACTAATTTTATTTGTGCCATACAGCATCCCAATGCAATAGGTCAAATTATCACGTTTCTGTATTTCTACAAATTTTAACCTTTATTTTCTTGCCAAAGCCAAATTTTACTTGGCTTTGTTCTGATGCATATTTATCATATATGCCAGAGGTTTGCCTCTGATTTGAAAAAGCATGCATAATTAGGCCATGTGTCACCGTATTACTGTAAACATAACATTTTTGTCTTTTGACATGCATGCAAATCCATGAGAACATTTGGTTGATATGAGAATAAAAATGCTGCACATTATTTCCCTGGTTAATATCAGAGCGCTTGCCACCAGTAAAAGCCTAAAGAGCTCCAAACACAGACTTTTCAGGTTCTTAGGAGCACAGATAAATGTGTACGTGGTATAGTCCTTGCCCTCAGCGAGAGCGACAGAACAGTTTGTTAGTGGAGCAGATCGGGAATGATTCAGTCCCGAGGGAGGGGGGTGTCAGAGAGAGAGAAAGTGAGAAAGAGGCAAAAATAGAGACATTATCACGATGCACAGAGATGTATGATCGCCATGTGTCACCGTATTACTGTAAACATAACATTTTTGTCTTTTGACATGCATGCAAATCCATGAGAACATTTGGTTGATATGAGAATAAAAATGCTGCACATTATTTCCCTGGTTAATATCAGAGCGCTTGCCACCAGTAAAAGCCTAAAGAGCTCCAAACACAGACTTTTCAGGTTCTTAGGAGCACAGATAAATGTGTACGTGGTATAGTCCTTGCCCTCAGCGAGAGCGACAGAACAGTTTGTTAGTGGAGCAGATCGGGAATGATTCAGTCCCAAGGGAGGGGGGTGTCAGAGAGAGAGAAAGTGAGAAAAAGGGCAAAAATAGAGACATTATCACGATGCACAGAGATGTATGATTTGTTTTTATCATCTGGTGTTAATTAATTTTGGGGTAATAGAGGCTGTATTTATAGCATGCATGCATGCAACGAGTTTTCACATTTGCATGCCATTGGAAGATGCTTCATTCAAAGTGGATTACATATGCCAATGCTATCTTACGACCAAATTCGTACTTATTTTACGAGGTGGCTAATTCGAAAGAATTCGTACGACCTCACTCGTACGATTTTGTACGTTTTGTCTAGACTCCAGTGATGGGTAGGTTTAGGGGCGGGGTTAGGTGTAGGTCATTCAGACGAATTGGGGAGCTCGTAAAATACGTACGATTTAGCAAAAATTGTACGAATTTGTAAGCGTGAAGTCGTACGAATTTGTACGATTTAGCCACCTCATAAAATATGAACGAATTGCCATGAGATCGGTAGGGTTGTGCCGATAAGACGATAGTGTCATGTATCGATGATAAAGATATCGCCTGTGGCTGATGCCTTTGACGATAGCGGGATAATTATTATTATTATAATCAGGCTAGTAATACTATAATTAATATTAGAGCTTATTTGTTTCATTATATTTCTTTTTCCGCATTTTTACAGTGTTGCACATTATAACCAATCACACGTGATTATGTTGAGCTTATGAATGCAATGGCCAATCAGAGGCGTTCAGATGAGTCATCGCTAAAACGGCGGAGTTTAGTTGTTCAGCGCGAACGTTGACTTAATTCAGCGAATTCTCACCTCCATCCTAAACAAAGGGCAGATGCATGTGTGATTTAAGAATAAGAGATTTATTCAGTGTAGATAGCTTCACTGATTGTAATGGGTTTTTTACTCGCGCTAGACTGAAGTCAACGTTCTTTAGCTGCAAGTAGCTACATTTTGAATAACTGAGGAAATGTAAGCATTAGTAACTTACAATGTTTGTATTAAATTGCTATCATGTTAAATACAAATTCAGTCATACTAAAAGCATTCGGCTATTTTTAGCATTACGCTGGAGTTGGTTCACTTTCCAGCAATGAAACTAAGTAAATAAGTAATTAAATAAATTAGCATGATAATATCGTGTATCGGCGATCTCACAGGCTGACGATAGGACAATATGACAATTAAGCATATCGCCCAACTCTAGAGATCGGGTTGGTATGCATATAGTTTTATTTATTTATTTAGTCATTTAGCAGACGCTTTTATCTAAATGAGGACAACAGAAGCAATCAATTGTAGTATTAAAACGACTAAAAACAGATCCAAAACTTTATAAATACTACTTATACACATTTCTAAAAATAAAGAAATTAAATAAAAATGACAAATGCATACAACAAAATTTTAAAACTTAAAAATAAAAATAAAGCTAAAAACAATTAAAGAACAAACGGTATGAGTATAATAATGATTCTAGCATAACACTAAGCCAAACACCAAAAAACAACTACATATATGTGCATGTACAGCCACACGCACACACACATATCTATATATATATAATTTAATTTCCATTTAGTGTTAAAATAACTCAAATAAAACTAAAACGCAATAAAAGACCTATACAGATATAATAAATTCAGACATAATTTAACTATAAATAAAATAAATTACAAATAAAGTAGTTTATCAGTATTTGTGTTTTGATGTTGTTGTTATAATTTAACTATTGTACAGCACTTTGGTCAATGCTCTGTTGCTTTATAAATAAACTGAATTTATAGTGTATGCATGCATATTTGTGTACACGTGTAAACAAAGACTATGAGCTAAAAAACAAAATCTCTTTACTATTGTACAATGCATGTTTGACTGTAAAATGTCTCATCTTTGTTCCGTTTCTTTATTATTGCATATGATAATAATCCATGTGGAGGTGATGCTGACAGCTTTATGCATGGATGGTAATCTCTGGGATTAGAGTGTTGCCCTTTTCCAAATAAAGACGCTCTAACTGAACGCAACTTTTCGTTTGATATTTCATTTCACACATTACTTTCTCACTTTACCTTCACAGGATTTGCCCGCCCTCCAGATGGATGCTGCATAGATGCTCTGAATCCTTTCTGCTTACTGTCATCCCTCGCAAACCGGCGCGCGATGCCTTTTGACAAGTCACGAGCGCCCGCGACAAAAAAAAAACAAAAAGCGCGGTTAATCCGGCGGCACGTGGGATTTGGGCGGGAAGAGAGAGAGAGAGTCGGTTGAGGAAACACGGGATTGGATGGATGCTGTGACTCAGAAGAAGAGATGAATCCAATTCACTTCACTTTACCTCAGCTGAACGCCGGACCGAGTCTCTGTCAGGCGACCGCGGAGAAAGAGGAAGAATATTAAGGAGCATTACACTATTTAACGATGGCTTTCATGGTGAAACACGTAGTCGGCGGTCAGCTGAAGAACCTGACGGGAGGTCTGACAGAAGAGAAATCTGACGGAGACAAAACCGAAGCCGCCGCTAAAGGAATGACCCAAGAAGAGTTTGAGCAGTACCAACAACAGCTAGAGGAGGAAAAGTAAGCACACCTACCTGATTTTCCCCTCATCGAAATGTGTGGATTTGATGATATCTTGGGAATGTGTTTGTGAGGCGGCCGTTTGGAGAGACGCGGGAAATTTTCGCGCCTCGTTGGACATTTGCGCGCGCAGCTGCTCGTCTCGCTCAGGGGGCTTCCTGCTCAGTCAGATATTAATAACTTCTCACGTTATTCACATCCACATTAGAGTTCAGCAGAATAAATTAGAATATTTATAGAGTTGCTTCAGACTCCTCAAGTAAATCCTGCTTGCTTGTTTCTTTAATTGCTTGTTATAAAATAATACTGATATAATTAGATTAGTAATAAACCGAGATACAAAAGATGTCATAGTACACTGATATTATGTGGTATAAATTGTTTCCATGATTGTACCAAGGATACCATGGTACAATTTGGGTAACACTTTTTTTTTATTTTAAGGTGTCCTTGTTGCACATGCATTTACTAATTTATAATAACAATAAATTATGCATAATTTAATGCAAGTAACCCTAATCCAAACCCCTAATTATATAGTAAGTACATGTAGCTAATTAATATTACTCAGTATTTAAATGTATAGATGACAAGGACGCCTTATAATAAAGTAACCGTTTATGGTAGTGCTGTACGCTTCATTAAAATCCAAGTATGCCTCATGTAAAATGATTTTAATTACTAATTTCATTCAAGCTCAAATCACATCTGCACATTCGGAAGACATAAATCTGACTTGTAGGAAAACCATCTTGTGTATGGCTCATGATAAATGGGAAAAACCAAAATAAGAGGCTGTTAGAGCCATCTAATCATGATCCAAGTTACCGCATCCAAAGCATTTCTGTTTTGCATTTCATATCTAAATTTTGTCTTTAGATATATCGGCTCATAACAGCCCATGCATGAACAGGTGGCCGTGTTGACACGGTTTGCATAACTGCCATATTTGGAAAATTATGATTTCACAGATTTCAGATGGCTGTGCCGAGCTCATCCGCATGCTGTAATCCAACTCATGTCCTCCGAGAGCAGATTTTGCACGAACAGATAGTTGACTGAGTCGTGTGTTTAATCTCTTGAATCAGCCAAACCTTCATGATCTTCTCAAAGGGTTTTGCTGCTTATTGATATGGGGATTATTGTAACTAGTCATTTGTTATAGTGAACCGAGTGGAAGAGCATCACCCGAGTCTAAATCCCCCTCCCGACTCGTCTTCTCTAGTAAATACTCGTTTAGCAGCTGCTTTTCTCCTAAGCAGCTTCAAGTACACTTAACATAGAGAAGATCCCTACGGAGTAAGCATTAAAGGAAGGTTCCTGGTTCGATACAAACATATGCAAAAGGGCCTGAACATTATCATAATTTGCTGGTTGTTGCTCACTCACGGTATGTCTGTTGTACTAAATGTGTTCATTCTATGACCTTTGCTTCAGCCCTGGAGATTTGTATTGACCTTTAACCTCACATGACCTTCAACAGTGCCCAACCAATTAGATGTAATTCAGCACAAGGTTAAACTTTTATTGCATCACATATATCCATTATAAATTTTGTTTTTTGATTATTTCCGTTTTATAAGATGCTATCTAGTTTCCTGTACCAAAGAAGGCTATTATCGTTCATTTAAAATAATTTACATTTATATTTAGCAGATGCTTTTATCCAAAGCGACTTACAAATGAGGACAATAAAAGCAGTCAAAACTAACAAAAGAGCAACAATATGTAAGTGCAAATGACAAGTCTCGATTAGCCTAACACAGTACACATAGCAAGGTGTATATATATATATGCACACACACACACATATATACACACACATATATACACACGCGCACACACACACACACACA